TCTCCCCCAGCCAGCTCTGCGCAGAGCCCACAGAGAGCACATCCGAGGTTGCCTGGCCCTATGCAGTCATCCGCCCCCCCTCGGGAACACAGGCTTGGTTACAGGATGGAAACAGATACCCTCTGTGTTCACATGTGGCCCCTCATCTGGGTGACTTGGGGAGTGGGGCACCTGCCTGCCCCGGTACCCCACAGAGGAACGTGTGCATCGGGGAGTGGTCTGAAGTTTGCCGTGTTCAGCATGGCCATGGCAGGTGCCCCGCAGAGGGGAGTGGGCTGGGTCTGTAGATCCCTCTGAGTGCAGGCGGCCCTCGGGGAGCCAGTCCGTGACCACCCCTCGCTCCTCTGCTTCCCGAGTGTTGCAGCCATGCCCAGCTATTTATAGTCCCTTCAGGGGCCTGCTGCTTCCCACTTGTGGCAGTGCCAGCCCTCGTTGCCTGGGACACTGCTCCCATCCCCAGCCCGCTGGCAAGCACCCACACATCTCTCAGGGTTCAATTGCTAACGTGAGCAGCAGCGCCTGAGACGTATTGGGTGCTTCCTGTGTGCTGAGTGTTTAACGCATGAGACCCCGTGTAATTCTCACAGCAGCCCTGTGCGCTCAGTCCCTCGTCGTCCCCTCTGACTCTGTTGTGTGACCCGTGACTGTGTGTAAGTGACCGCCTGGTGCCAGGCAATCTTTGACTCTCAGAGAGGCTAGGAAATGATGGGACATGGAGTGGAAGCTAAACCACGTGACCCCTGTCCTTACTCTCAGCCGCAGTGGCAAAAACAGTCTCCCTCCCAGTGCCACCCCAGCCCTTTGAGCCACCCCTCCCCCACTGTTGTCCATCCCCCACTGCCTGCTCTGCCTCATTCTGCGAGGTTTTTGTCATAGCATCCAGGCAGGTTTATTACTTACTGGGCTCTTTCCCTACCACCTGTACAAGACATCTCTTAGGAACTCATTTTCTAAAAAAATGTATTTGAAAGGCAGAGAGAGGCAGGGAGAGATCTCTCATCTTCTGGTTCATGCCCCAAATGGCTGCAACAACCAGGGCTGGGCCAAGCCAAGGCAGGAGCCCAGAATTCTAGCCGGGTCTCCCATGTGGGTAGCTGGGGCCCAAGGACTTGGGCCATCTTCTGCTGCCTTCCTGGGCGCATTAATTTGCAGGGAACTAGATTGGAAGTGGAGCAGCCAGGGCTGGAACCAGCGCTCCCCTATGGGATGCCAGTATCACAAGTGGCTGTGCCACAGCCCCAGCCCCAGGAGTTCATTTTAAGTAGCAGCAAACAGGCTGTGTGGGGGCTTACCATTCCCATTTAGCAAGCAGTGAGGTGGGCTGTGTCTAGTGTGGCTCAGTGTCTGAACAGCATCAGGAAAATACCTCTGCTTTTTCTTGGGCTGTTCCTCTTGGCAGCAGTATGATTGCTGTAGCTCCAGTCATCACATCGGAGGTCAAGGCAAGAAGTCCTTTTTAATTATCCCATTAGAGGCCTCAGAAGAGGCTCTAGCACACTTCACTGAAGGCCAGAATGATGTCACCTGGTGACTCCTAGCTACCAGAGAGGCAGATACAGTGAGTGCCCGCTGGGGACTGGGTCCGCTGGCACCTGTCGTAGGATCGGGGTGAGGTGAGAAGGGAAGGTGGAAGCCTGGGAGGTGAGAAGCAGTGCCTGCCACGTCCTCAGAGCACAGAGACCCCGTTCTTGGGTTAACGTTTCCCAAATTCCCGAGTGCTCCGAAGCTGTTTGGTGTTGTGGCCTCCCGAGCCACCTTCTCTGCCCGTTAGGAACTTTCTGCTTTTTCAAACACGCTCCTTGCAGTACTTCCCCAGCGCCGCTCTCCTTGCCCGCGGTCGCCCGTGGAATTCCGAAGGGCTCCGCGGCAGCTCATCTTGTGGAGTGCACATGTGTTACTCAGCCCGTCCCCGCTGGGACTCCTTCGCACTGTTTCTGTGTTTCACCGTAACAACAGCCCTGTGGTGGATACCTTGTCCCTTGACTTCGATACGCGTTTCTGATTAACGTCGTAGGACACAGAGTTGGATTATGCTGGGGTGAAAGCTGCCTTAACCATCAAAGCTTTGGATACCAGTTGCCAAGGTGACCCCAGGAAGGCGGGGCTGGTCACAGCCGTGGGTTCCCCCAGGGACAGACACACAGATGCACATAGCTCCCACGGGAGTGCAGGGGCCCAAGGACTTGAGCCATCTTCCACTGCTTTCCCAGGTGCATCAACAGGGAGCTCAATGGGAAGTGGAGCAGCCAGGATGCAAACCAGCACCCATAGGGATACTGGCATTGTGGATGGTGGCTTTACCAGCTATGCCACAGCGCTGGCCCCCTGCCTCCACTCTTGTGAGGCCTGGTGGTCCAGCTGTGGTCCACACAGCACTGCTCATCATGGACTGTGCAGACAGATGCCTGGCTGGGCATCCCTGCTGCCCCCACCTGCCTACCCCCGCCATCAGGGCTTGGCTTTTCTACCTCTCTCAGGGTCCTTTCCATGGTAGGCATCACCTGGGCGCTCAGGGTTTCAGGGTGGGCAGGGGTGAAGAGGGAAGGATCTGGGGGTGCTTGCAGAGGTCTGTGGCCCCTCCCCAACAGCCAGCTCCCCCCCACCTCCCACCCCGTGGTCACCTCCTGCCCTGCACTACGCTCTCTGCTCAGCCTCTCTGCAGAGGGGATTTCTGCAGATTGAGGGTCGGGTCCTGTGATCTCAGGTAGTGTCTCGGAGACCCCCTGGCGATGTGTGCAATTGAGGAGAGGAAGAACCGCTTTACAGAGATGTGGTCACCTCTCAAGGAGCAGGCCGGGGCGGGGGCGTGGCCTGTCGCCCTGACAGCAAGAGCTGTCAGGGAAGACTGGCCCAGGGCTTCCTGCCCTTCTGGGGCTGCCAGGCTGTGCCACCCCACCTTCCCTGTTTCCCATCCACCCCTTCCCTGGGGAGCCATCTCCATGCCTGAGACCCCTGGGCATGGGTCGGTGTGGCCTGCTGAATCCTAGCTCTTGGCCAGGGGCCCAGCGCAGCTCACCTCCTGCAGGAAAGCCAGCAGGTGACCACGAGGTCTCACTTCCCTCCAGTGCTTCTCCAAAACTGAGGCTCACCTGACAGCCAGGCCCCTCCCAGGCCGGGTGGGGGTGGCCGCTCCCCACCTTGCTGCCTCCGGAGACGCCAGCCGCAGATGCAGCAGCAGTGGCCCCAGTTTCCTGGGTGCATGGCGTGCACGCCTCTCCGAGGCTGGGGTGTCACTGGGTCCTGAGGTTTTCCATGTGTGTCTCTCTTAGGAAAAAAAAAATAGTCCATGTCCCCTGACAGCTGAATGGGGCATCAGCTCAGGGACCGGGAGAGGAAGCCAGCAGGAGCAGGTGCAGTGAGGAGCAGGTGCATCAAGCCTGCGAGAAGCCCTTGGCTGCCAAATGCCCAGATTGGATTGAGTGTGGCCATGGCCCGGCGCCCTGGTGACCCGTTGACACCATTCTCAGACTGCTGGCTGCCGTGGGTGGGTGTGTTGTGACAGAGGAGGAGGAGGAGCCAGGGCGCCTGCCGAGAACTTGGCATGCTGTGGCCTGGCTCAGACCTCAGACCTGAGAGGGACAGCACATTCCTCTGTTGGTTCATTCACCCCACACACGTTTCCTCCAAGCCGGCCGTGTATCAGCTCGCGGGTGCCAGACACACAGCCGTGCCTGAGACACCCACTTCCTGCCCCAGGGGCTCAGGGACAAACAGGGAGGGTCCACGAGGGGAGCAAGAGACCATGTGCTACAAGAGTCCTGAGCTGGGCCATCACAGAGGACAACCTGGAGGAAGTGGCGTCCAAGCAGATGATGGGACAGGGCCAGCTGACATCCCCTGTCAAGCTGGGCAAGACCCCAAGGAACCTGGCCTGGGGATCCTCAGGGAGTAGTTAATGCATGGATGTGGCTGCAGGAGCGTCCAGTGCATGGGAGACCATCCTGACCCGGGCCTGCCCCAGAGCCCCAGAGACTGGTGCTGTGGCCCCACTGTGCTGCCAGCTGCCATTGGTCCCCAAATGCCGAGCAGAATCTTGGGCCCCAGCCAGCAATGCGTAGCAAAAGGGCATCCATGTCTCCTGCAGTGGCCCCAGCCCAAGGAGATTCTAGCCTGAGCCCCGGGAAGCACAGAGGTCAGGGCTGGCAGGGGCAGGCAGGCATAGGGGGTGGGTGAGGAGAGTGGGAGGGTCCCTCGAGCTGCTGCAGGCAGACCCCCAGAGCTGGTGCCTGAGGCCACTCCTGTAACCCTTGCTGTGTGGAGCCCTGAAACCTTGCCCTGTCCCAGCCTTGGCCCTGCCTGGTGGCCCGGGAGGGGGCATCATTGCGTGGGTGCCGGGGCCAGCTTGGTGCCACAGTGCCGAGGGAGTTAATGCAGCCCGAGCACCCTCCTCCGCATTAGGCAGCCTGCGCTGATTATTGAAACACCGCTAGCTCCCGAGGACTGTGCTGTTCCCCTGCCAGGCCCCCGGCACAGCCTCCCGCCCACGCCTGGCCTGCCCGCATGCAGGGCCTTGTTCGCAGTCGAGGGCTCGCCCTCAGGCACATTTTTGCCACCTCCCCCAACCCTGAAACCTGCTCTGGCCCCCTGGAGGGATGGGGCTCAGTGTACCCGAGGAGGAGGGGCTCAGGAAGTGACATCGCATGGCCCGCCCCCGACTCCTTGTCCCCTATAAAAAGCAAAATGGTGACTCAGAGAGGACAGTTGGAAGCGTCCTGCCTCCCTGCTCCCACCGTGAATTTTTAGACTTGGAATTAGGCAGGAGGCAAAGCAAGCGGCAGCTCCAAATACGAGGCTGACATGCTATTACGCGGGCGGCAGCCGCACTGCCGCCCCTCCCCACCTCCCAGCAGCCTCCGAGCGTAGCCCCTTCCCCGGGCCGGGTGTGAATGGTGCAGCCGGGGGCATGGCAGCCGGGGGCCGCCGTCGGCGCCCGCTGCGCTACCAGTCCCTGGCAGCCCTGGTGGAGGACTCTCAGTGGCCCTTCTTGTTCCTTGTCTCAGACTTCAGCTACGGGGCGGACGACTACGACGCCGAGGGGCATGAGGAGCAGAAGGGACCCCCGGAGGGCTCGGAGACCATGCCATACATCGACGAGTCGCCCACCATGTCGCCCCAGCTCAGTGCCCGCAGCCAGGGCGGCGGCGAGAGCATCTCCCCCACCCCACCCGAGGGGCTGGCACCTGGGGTAGGTACAGCCTGCTTTCCTTCTGGCTAGGGGTGGAGGGGGCGGCTGTGCTTAGGGTGGTAGAGGGGGAGCAAGACGGGGCTGTCACCTCATTCTGGTTGTCAGTCCCTCCCAGGCCCAGGGCCCTCTGTCCACCTGCCACCTCCTGCCAGACCTGCCGTCTGGTCACCATGCCTCCTGGATACTCTCTTAGCCTGCTCTTGCACTCTCTGTCCTTCCCTGGATGGGACAGAGACCTGGGAGGGACCTGGCTGGACGGTGGCTGCAGAGGTGGCCTGCGGACAAGATGCCTGCTCCCCAAGGACCAAGGGCTCCTCCAGCCCCCTGCTTTGACTCTGCTGGAGAGCAAACCCCACTGGTGTCTCCCTGTGCTGAGAGAGGGCCATGCGTGTGTGTAGGGCCATGGGGCGGGTGTGCTGTCCTGGTCATTGACCCTGCTCCTGGCGACAGGGCCCGAACACAGAGCATGGCATGTGTGTGCGCATCTGAGACACACAAGCAGGCCACAGAGATTGCGAGGGCTGTTCCCTGGAGTTGGGAGAAGGAAGGAGTCAGCCCTCTTCTGGGGATGTGTGCCTGGCAGATGGGAAAGGTGCACAGTGCTGGTCCCATGTGGCCCAGGCTTGTCCAGGTGTGTTCTGGGGTGGGGGGGATCCCCTCTCTTCCCGTGAATGCCCCCAGAGGAGCATCACTGAGATGCCATGTGGTAGGGGGAGCTGGCACCCCCGCCCCAGCCGGAGGCTTCCTGGACGCTACCATTCCCGAGAACCCCCTGCGCAGGCCCTCGCACCGGGGTGGCTGTTATAGCCTTTGGCAACAAGGGCCTTGGCAACCAGCTTCCCACTTGGGGGAAGCCACACTGTTGCCGTGGCAACAGAGGCCCAGGCAGTGTTCAACGGCTGCCAGGCAATGCAAGTTTGGGAAGGGCTGGCAGGGGGCAGGTGGGAGGTGGAGGGGACGGGCCCCAGGACCCCCACAGCCAGTCCTCTGGGGTGTCGTGGCCCTGGCATCCCAGGGAGGTGTGGTGGGTCAGAGACTGCCATCTTGGACACGCAGGGGCGGCCTCTTTGCTCCTGATGGAGTGGAGAGTGGGGCCTCCAGGGGTCAGCAGGAAGAAGTCTGTCGGCCCTTGTCTCTGCCTTTGGGTCTCAGAGCCCTGCAGGGGCCAGGGAAGGTGCTCTGTAGTCTCAGGGCAGGGCCAGGATCTCTGCTGCTCCCTGCTCCCATCTCCTTCCCTCCTCACCTCCCCACATCCTGAGTGTCTTGCGTGCTGGCCCTGCATGTGTGGAGCCCCTGGTGAAGCAGCCCCGGGGGTGTGGGGTGGGGGGAGGGCGGGTGCCCTGCCTGCTGCTCCGAGGTATTGGGGCAGAGACTCCACTTTGTGGCTGCCCATTTTGGTTGGTGATTCAAGAAGGAACACTTTGGTTTGAGGACTTGGGAATCCACAGATGCTGTGGGGTGACAGCCCCCGATTGGTTGTTCCACCACTGGCTAGAAGCCACGTGAGACATAGGGGTAGGGGCATTCCTCCAACTTGTGGTTCCCCGGAAGCTGCCCTCCTGCTGCACCCCTTGCCTGCCCTTCCTTCCCTCCTAGGGGGGCCTTGCAGCTCTGTCTCCCGCATCACTGGCCCCACCTAGTGGACTCTTCAAGCATTGTTGTTTACATTGGGTGCCTGCAGGGAGTGGACACCTTTTCCTGAATACTTGGCGGATTTTTTTTCTTAAAGGCCAAAATGTCTACTACTTGGCTGTGCTCATTTGGACAAACACGCCCCCTCCCCTGCCAGACTTCCTGTTGGGACCTTGGAAAAAGGCGTGGGGTGTGGGGGGAGCTTTTGGACCAAAACAGGCGATTGTTCTAGATATTCAGTTATCGGGCCTCTGGCACAGCTGGCAGCTGATCTTTGCCACACCCAAATGTGCAGCCAACTTGTGCTTGGGAGCCCAGGTTTGGTCTTGGCATTAGTCAGGTTTCTGCAGAGTGGCAGAACCCTTGTAATGTGTACGTGTCTCTGTCCCCTCTCCCTGTAATGAGACAGTTGGACAAAGTTGTCCCCTGCAGACTGAGATGGGCCAGACTTCATGGTGACCTGTGGAAGGCCTGGGAGAGCCACCGCACAGTCCCAGGCCGAGAACCAGTGGATTCAATTCTAGCCCAAAAGCCAGCAAGTTTGAGGCCCAAAAGGAGCCAGGGTTTCGGTCTGAGTCCAAGGCCAGAAAAGAGAGCAGGTCCCAGCTCATGCAGTTGGGCATCAGGGCCCCTGGATGCCTTGGGATTTCTGTTCCACTTGGGTCTTCAGTTGGCTGAGTGGGGCCCACGCAGTCTGCCATGCTCAGAGTACTGGTCCCATGTGACTCTCAGCACGTTACAGGCACGGTGCTGTTTGGACTGACAGCTGAGTGCCCCATGGCCGTGATGTGAGCCAGCAGCCCAGACAAGTGTGTGAACTGTGCACCGATGAGAATTTCCTAGCGTCCACCTATGTCTGGCTAGGAGACGTTGGACGAGGGTCGCTGGGAGGAGGGGCTATGGTTGCTCAGGGGAGGCCTGTGGTGTTGGGAGCAGCTCACCGTGGCGCTCTGACTTGCTGACTGGGGTCCACGACCAGACTTCCCTCTCGCCCCTGGAGCTTGTGGACACTCAGCTTGGATGCCGAGCAGTGGCTGAATCTCCTGCAGTCCACGTCTGTTCCTGGGTTGGATCGGGGCTGCCCGTGAAGCCAGGTGCCTGAGCTGGACAGGACGCAGCGCTCCTCGCTCCCCGGCATGCTCCCTGCAGCCTTGCTCTGCTACTGTGGCCATAGTGCTCTGCAGGTGTGCAGCCCGCCGAGGTATCAGGTGCAGCCTGCAGCCCTGCCTCACAGACTCTCCCCAGGCCGCAGTGAGCAGGCAGCCTGGCAGGCCCGGGCCACAGAAGCCCGGGTACTCAATGGGACTCAGAGAGCCCAGGCTCACTTGGAAAGGAGGGGGCAGCCGACTGGTGAGGCGTGAGTTCCCCAGACAAGGTGGTGGCCTTACAGAAAAGCTCATCTCCCCTCTGGGGTGGTGCACAGGGACTCCAAGGCAGACAGGAGATGTGGGCTTGGGCCCAGCCCTGCCTCCTCCATGCTGTGTGGCCTCTCTGAGCTCCAGTTTGCCCCCACCTGTAAGGGAAGCGTTTCTTCCCCTGACGTCACTCAGCCGTCACGACGCTTCTGGCAATCAGACTCAGGGAGAGCATTCGGGACCCAGTGCAGGCTCCGGGCTCAGACTCCAGCTGGCAGGAAAGGACAAGGATGGGGGTGGAGGTGAGCAGAGATCATCGTTGCCCCTTCCCCTTCCTCCCTCTCTTCCAGCCACGGCTACTGGGAGAGACTTGTGCCGAGCCTTTCACACGTGCTGTCCCAGACCAGGCCCACACAGCCCTGTGAGGTTAGGGTTAGGCACAAAAGGTGAAATGATTTGCCCAAGACCACATTGCTGCTTTATTTATCTTTTTAGAATTCATTTGAATGAAAGAGAAAGAGAAAGAGAAAGAGCAAAAGTGCTCCTAGCCCGTAGTTTATTCTCCAAATTCCCACGGTGACCAGGGCTGGACCAGGGTTGAAGGCAGGAGCCAGGAGCTCCGTGCAGGCCTCCCACTTGGGCAGCAGGGGCCCTAGTACTTGAGCTATCACTGCGGCCTCCCAGAGTCTGCACTGGCCGGGCCGGAAGCTGGAGTCGGGAACATGGGAATTCCAGCGTGGAACCAGGTGTCGTGACATACTGAGCATACTCTGTGCATCTCAGCAACCCTGCACCCCATGCCCCCCTTTATGGGTCTTTGGCCCCTACCGTCAAGAGTAGGATGCTGACTGGATGCTGTGACCCACCAGGTGCTGTGCTAGGAGCCTGGGGGCTTCACTACCACCGCACACCTCCGACCTCTGTGGAGCTGCCCACTTTTCTTTTTTTAAAACATTTATTTTGGCCGGCGCCGCGGCTCGATAGGCTAATCCTCTGCCTGCAGTGCCGGCACACTGGGTTCTAGTCCTGGTCGGGGCGCTGGATTCTGTCCCGGTTGCCCCTCTTCCAGGCCAGCTCTCTGCTGTGGCCAGGGAGTGCAGTGGAGGATGGCCCAAGTGCTTGGGCCCTGCACCCCATGGGAGACCAGGAGAAGCACCTGGCTCCTGCCTTCGGATCAGCGTGGTGCGCCGGCCGCAGCGCGCCAGCCCTGGCAGCCATTGGAGGGTGAACCAACGGCAAAAGGAAGACCTTTCTCTTTCTCTCTCACTGTCCACTCTGCCTGTCAAAAAAAAAAAAAAAAAAAAAAAAAAAAAAAAAAAAACCACCACATTTATTTATTTATTTATTTGAGAGGCAGTTACAGACAGAGAGAGGGAGACACCAAGAGAAAGGTCTTCCATCCACTGGTTTACTTCCCAGATGACCACAGTGGCCAGAGCTGGACCAATTCAAAGCCAGGAGCCAGCACTTGGGCCATCCTCCACTGCTTTCTCAGGCCATAAGCAGAGAGCTGGGTCGGAAGGGGAGCAGCTGGGACACGAACCAGCACCCATATGGGATGCCAGTGCTGCAGGCAGAGGTTTAGCCCACCACACCACAGCACTGGCCCCTGAGCTCCCCATTTTACAGATGGAGAAACTAAGGCCAGGGTGGCTCCTTGGCTTGTCCAAGCTGGGGAGGAGCCTTGATGGTGACCCTCAGGCCCCTTCATGGAAGGCTCTCCGATTCCTCTCTGGCCCAGCCACTCTTTCACACACCTGGCCGGGACCTCACTCACCCCTGGGTGGTGCTTCCCTGGTTGACTGCCCTGGCTGGCCTGCCTCACCTGTTGCTCCCACTTCCTGTCTGGGATCTCCCTCTCCCTGCTGGGATCGTAGCTCATTGATGGATTTCATATCTGCCAGTGAAGCTGCTCACCAAGCAGCTTTCTTCATTGGAGAAAGGTGTGCTGATCTTGGCCGGGTCCTAGAGACTGGGGACCTGGGGGTGGCCCAGCCGGGCCATTCTCTGCCC